CACAAAAACAATATGTAATTATATATGTGTTTTCCGATGGTCTTAGGTGACCCCTGTGAACGTTCGTTCAACCCCAAAGGGGTTGTGCCCCACAGGTTGAGAACCGCTGCCTTAATCCATGTGAAGAGCACAAATCTAAATATTGACATTGGTGGTTCCGTCACTTTGCTTCAGTAGGCCTCTTTTTCTTAGTTTGTAAACTGTGACGACATTATTGTACTCTTTTCTTGGTAAGCCAAACATATTTAGTCACAAGACTTTAAAATTTAGAGGTAGTCCATCCCAACTATTTGATTTTAAAGATAAAGATGAGTTGAAAAGGACTTAAGTAATTTATCCAGAGTTGTTAAAGATGAGGGAGGCCTCGATTCTATTCTAGGTCTCTTCTAACCCATTCTCTGTCTTATGAAAGCAGCTTCGAATTCTTTAATTACTTTAAAGGAATAGTGCTATTTCAGAATTAAATATTTCACATGAGGGTTAACTTAAAGGTGGAAGCTTTTTATTTCTATTTTAAAATATTTAAAATTTATTATATATTTATATACTTATAAAACAATACTGAGCACAACTTAAAGTTTTCTTTGTGACTTAAAGTCATCCTGATCATTCTTCAAATAAATAAATGTGTAATATACTACCTACCAGGGACTGCTTGGAGATTATATACATACTTATGTACAAAGTTGACATGGTTCTTGGTGCTTATAGTCTAGGATCACTGTACCAGATGTTTGCAGAGGCTACATGAGAATTTGGGGTTACAGGTACTAAATAGCACTGGACTTTAATTTTCCCTCCCCTCAGATTTCCCCAAAGACTTTATTTTTTCTTGCTGATTTTCCATAGTGTTTGTTAGGAGATTCTTACTCTTGTGAGTCTGTAGTTGTCTTGAGTATGTTTGAAGTCATTGAAGTTAAATTTCTGGCTGAACATTAGATCTCAAATGCTAGCCAAGAAGCATACATTGTTTAATCAAGCCCAAAATTATTTAAAATATTACTTAGATCAAATAGAGTATATCTTTTAATGAAGTTTTCTTTGTAAGTAGATTGTAATAATGTATTATTTTTATAACTAGAGAAGTTCTTTATCTTTGTTCCTCTAGAGTGTTATGGAAAACAGTGACAGGTATGCTGTATCATCTTCATCTCTAGCCTTTACACCACCAATCAAAACCTTAGGAACACCATCCCAGCCTGGGAGTACTCCTAGGATTTCTACCATGAGACCTCTTGCTACAGCATACAAAGCTTCTACTAGTGACTATCAGGTATTTTAAGGATTAGATAAAAAGAATGTACTTTAAAGGTTGAAGTGCTTACTTAGCATATTTGACTTTTTCATTGGATTGATTTGTCTGCCATTAAATATTTCCCACTGAAGTGATTGACTTGATGAAACCTATAAACTTTACATTCTTTAATTTCCTGTTTTAAAAATGAGAATTTTGGTCAATTAGAAACATCTTGAATTTAAAAAAAATTCTTTGCTATTTTAAAAGACATTTTGATAGTCTAATTTTTTTTCTAAGTTATCTTGGCATATGTAAAAAGTTTTTCTTGTGGCATAAGGGAATATTTAAAAACCTATTAAATTGATAACTAAATCTGATGGTATCACAAATGAAGAGCCTTCAGTTCTGTTGGAATAGCCTTTGGTTATCCAAAGAAAACATTGACCAGCTTCCATTTCAAATTTTCTCATTTCAAAAATGTTTAAAGGACAAATTTATTTATATTCATTAAAGAATGGTAGGAGTATTATGACTCTCACTAAGTATGTTATTATCCCCTAACTAATAAGGCAGGAGTTCTGAACTTGCCTAGCAACAGACCTGGGCTCTAAAAGAGCAAATAAAAAAGTTGTCAATTTAGTCTTTTCACTTCCTCTTGAAATGTGGAGAAAATTCTTGAACTGGTGACATTTTTCCCCTTTAGTTTTTTTTTTTAACCAATATTTTAAAGCCCTCATCTCTAGTAACTTTTGTGTTTCTCTAGTTTTCTAATTTAAGGAGTAGATGTAATTTGCTTTGTCAAAGGAATAAGATTTTAACATTCTTAAAAATTTACAGACGTTTTAACCAAAGCCATGTTTTAACCTTTAAATATACAGTTAATTTCTACAAATGCATTTTAATGTTTGGCTCTATTAAATTAGCCATTAACTCTAGAATTAACTATGATACTGAAGAAAACATAACCTTAACAATTGTGTTTTTTCAAAATAGGTCATTTCTGACAGACAGACGCCAAAAAAAGATGAAAGTCTTGTATCCAAAGCAATGGAGTACATGTTTGGCTGGTAGTATAGTGAGAGCTAAGAACTCCACCAACTACAAAGGAAGAGGCTGCTACACTAAAACAGCAGGGCGCTGCCGGTTTTTCTTCGGTTAGTTATATAACCACTCTTGGCAGTGTTGGACAGCTATCTCATACTTCTTTTAGAAGCCTTTTTCTTTATGGATACAGCATATTTGTATCTCGCACTTTACGAGATGCTTGAGACCTGTTTTAAAGAAACAAAAAAAC